TGCAGTTTTTATTTATTTATTTATGTCACAAAACTGATGTACAATCTCAAATGCAAATAAGAACACACGAGTAGTACGAGTCTTTTTTATTACCTCTTTTCGATGCCAATCCAATATGAATGTTGCCGTAAAGAACCAGTAGACCACAGGTCCCCACCTGTGGTCCAACAAGGCCGATGGCTCGGCTCGGCCTGGAAGGAACAGGGTGCTTTTTGGTCACTAAGAGCTTGACAATCCTTCTCGCCACACCTTGTGCGAGATAAGAAACTTGATGATTTCCTCCCTCAAAAATATAGCATACATGTTAAGTTACAAATTAAGACACCCATGACGTCTGTAAGTTGTTTTATTGGCAGAGCATCAGGTATGGTAATATTGTAGTGAAAGTATTGCCGCGCCTGTGGCCTAGGTTTTATTTAAATTGCTGAGCAACGTACTAAAATCTCGTAAACACGGAATGTAACGTCACATATATTTAAGAGCTTTCTAATCTAATAATTTCCTAAGTATATATATTTTTTTTATTTAAATAATTAATTCACCAAAGGGAAATGATGGAAAATAGAATGCACTGGCTCACTTAGCTATAATCAATAAAATTAATTTATTTACATATTCTACAGCAATTGTAAAATGCTACTTAATACTGAATACTCCTCAACCAGGAAATTACACGAAGACCACGAATAATGTTAAGAAGTGTATACAACAGCGGCATTTGAAGTTGCACAACGAGGAAATACTTTTATAAAATACGGTTTTTAATAATACGGTACCTACGTAAGCCAGCAATTCACTGGCATATTCAGGTACATACTTCAATTATGCTAACCGTATTACAGATTTCTCTTTAATTTTCATAAAACCTTTAGTCCCGGTAGAGAAGAACATTCTTGGGATTATTTTGGTAGGGTAGGTAGATACACGGGATTTCCATCGCTCGTTGCGTGTTTACGGGTAAAATGCGTATTGAATACTTTATATTCTGACCTGATGTTGCCTACTACCTGGCTGCCAGCCTTCCAGGAAACCTAATTTATTATTTAGATGGCTGCCTCATCGGAATATTGATACATATAAAAAATCTTTTTTCACGTCGCACTAGAAGCCTTGTTGGGTTTTTTTTGACACGTAATATATGTAAAATCTGAGTTTTAAAGCTAATACTTGAAAGATGTTGATAAAAATTCGAACATCTCTGCCACAACGACTCTTTAGGAGTTGGAGAGCCATGATTCGTTCGACACGAACGGACTGGCTAGAACAAAGTGATATCGTGGCCATACAAAAAACTTTCGTGAAACAACACATTAGTGTGGTTAGCTCCTATCGTTAAATCCCTCATCATCTACCTATAAGTGCCCACTGCTGAGCAAAAGACTCTTCTCATACGGAGAAGGTCAGAGCATTAATCACCACGCTTGTTCAATGCGGCTTGGCGATTTCAAACTTATAATTAGAAATTATAAGTCCAGGTTTAACTTCACCGTATGTCAGTGGTGTCTAAATAATCATAGAAAGTACATATAAATCGGAAAAAGTCACATAGGTATTTGTCAGGTTCAGAACCACACCCTCATGCATGAGAAGCGGACTCCTTAACCTCCGGGCCACCACGACATTTTTAAATCCCTAATGGTTGGTAACTAGAAACGTACCCTCTAGTATTTTGGTTGTACATAAGCGGAACCGCTACCAACTGTTTACCTTTAGGCGATCCATATGCTCGATTGCCGTGATATTTAAAAACCGTCGCCAACCTGCAATAATTATTTACATAAGACAGTTAAGACATGTTATTACAGCTAGCTAAAAATTAACCTTTGTTCTTTACCTAGATAAGCAGTTAATGTACCATAACTAACAACACTCATGCGCATAATTCAGCGCCAACATGTGCCAGTAATCTGTGAGTGAAGCTACAATTAATTTGACTTGACATCATAGTGTGAACTACAAGTTACCTACTCAATGTTGGATTAGTAGCTTAGGTACAAATTATATGGATAGTAGTAAGGATGGATTGGTTACAATGACTCCTGATCCTATATGATTTGTTGCAGATCATTAGGGGTTGTAGTAATTACATGCTTCAATTGTCTTGTATACAGCGACCTATCAGATATTAGTTCGATGAACAGTAAATATTATGTTTCAACTTCGTTGCAGCAATCTGAAATTTTAACTTGTTCTCTAGTGGTGAACGGTATAGAAGTGGTTTCTAGTCAGTAAGAGTCTGACACTCATTCTCGCCTCACCGTGGGCGAGAAAAGCCATTTGATGATTTCCTCCCCCCAAAAAGTGGTAAATAGACCTTCTACTCTTAACATATCCAGTTATGCTACAGGTCCTGTAGCCCTTCAGGATATTTAAGCTTTAACATAAACTTGGTAATTATCATCGAAGTAATATTTAATTTAACATAAAACAAAAACACAACAATAAGGAGATAAATGTAATCTCAATTTAATATCCGTGGCGCGCACAGCCCGGGTGTCGACATCGGTTACCAGAGCACCGCGACACAGCAGCAATTACTTCAAAAAACAATTTTAATTAAAACGCGGTTTCCGCAGCTCTCGAACAAAAACGGGATCGGAGGGGAGAGAGCATCATAGCACACATACGATTTAATTAAACACAAAATGGTGGAAACACAAGTCACAGAGAGTGTGAACGAATATCTTCATCCTCCTGGAGAATAGGTTTAACCCGGTATTTTAGTGTAGGTAAGGGTAACTACATATTCGAATCGGGACAATCATACAAGCCTGAATAACTTTTCTATATTAACTTTCTCCACTACACAATTTTGAGACGAATTTCTCCAGCATAAATGTAATTCAATCTTATTCGCTCATCATTATTTTTTACATATCCCATGGTACAGTCGCTAGGAACATAGGTACTTACACATAAAATATATGCAAATGTACGACTAGGAAAAACTGTTTAAATGTATTTTCCTTAAGATTTTTTCTTTTTCCATTACTTAAACTGAATATTAGTGGTATAATGTTCTCACATAACAAAACCAACTTTCAAAAAGAGTAACCATGGAATAGGTATCTTGTATCGTTCTTCTCGATCGGAATCTACTGCTACTACATTTTGGAACAAACAAATAGCTTTATTTAAAGAACTAACCGACAGACCGAAACTTTTTAGTAAGGTTATAATCCTCCGTCCATCCTATTAAGTTATTTGTTAGAGCAATAATGTAATAAACACAAAGGTACTATATTCTCATACTCTGTGAGTGCTCATGTACTGCCAAATAAACAAATAATTTATATCAAGAATTCATTCACAAAGTAAACTTAAAGTCTATTAAAAAAGAGGAGAGTTCATACAACTTTATGCTCAATAGTTATTCTGTAATAAAACTGTAAATATTATAAAATGGTTCATAAGCGGGACTCGCCCAGTTCAAAGGCTATCGGTTTCATAATATTCTCTTAGAGCGAGGTTATCAGGAATTTATAAAACAGGATGCTAAGTAAATAAGGTGATATATTGATAATTATTATAAACAATTAATACAGTGTAGCAATGCTTCTAATGATACATTGTGTTGTGTAATTAGATTCGGTTTTCTGTATTAGGGGAAAATCACCAAATGTCGATGATGAAGTTTATTTACTAACTATATATCCAGTTTTTCTGTAATCAATGAACCTTTTAGTTGTATCAAGATTGTGCTTTCATTTAGTGATGGATTTTGTTTTATCTATGTTCTATTAATTACTTGGATTCATCCCATTAGCAAAAAGTTTACTTGAGGTTATTGCTGATAAATATGGTGATAAATATTTATAATTATAACTAGCAGACCCAGCCCCGCGTTGCTGTGGCTAAGGTAAATAATATTGCGACTATAAATGGAGATGTAAGCTATCCTATCTTTCAAGTTGGATCAAAATGCACACGGAATGCAAATCAAATTTAAAATCGGTTTAGTAGTTTAGGAGTCATCGCGGACAAACACGTGACACGAAATTTTTGTATATAAAGAAGATAATCTAATCTTTAGTAAATGAAGACAGAATTGGCAGGGCACAGATGTAGCCTACAAACTGTTTCCTAACGTCAGAACGTCAAGACTTCAGTTACTTTGTAGGTATACACTCAGTAGTTATCTACTTATTACTGGTGTGACGGTCAATGTAACTGATAATGATGAAATGACATTAATGACGAGATATCGTAAGTGACGTGTCGCACTGTTTATTTGTTTACTTCTCGTGTTTGATATAAAGTTAAAGTAAATGTCAAAGTTATGAACTATATTTCAGGGTTTTTTTTTTGCCTCAATAAAATTAACTTATATCTCTCTAACTCGTACTGCGTCGGAACTTTTAACTATCAACAAATACTGTTCGTTTCAGTACGAATATTATCACAAATATCCACTTGAAGTGAATACAAGAGATTTCAAGAAACTCCATCCTCAAGATTAATTGGTCAAGGACCCTCGTCTCCAAGAGTTCGGATCCGATAAGCCGCTTAACGAGAAAATAACTAACAAAATAATGAAACGACTTTAGGACGCCCCAAAACCTAAATTGAAAATCCTACAGTGAAAGTTTTATTACCACAAAATATCAGAGTTATTAAGCTGATGGGTTCAAACGTTTATTTGAAGATGAAATACTTGGAATGGACTCAAATAATTCAGTACAGTTGATATTTTCTTCCCCGCGGCTTCGGAATTGACCGCAAATTTATCAATGCTATAAATAACACAATCATATTTTGATTTTTGTTAGTTTATTTAATAATGGTCATGAACTCATGACTAGAAGTGAGTTAAGGAAAATATATTTTTTGCTACCTAACTAGCAGGAAGCCTTGGCTTTATTTAATTTTATTATAGGTAGTTACTCCGAGTATTCTACCCTTATTTTCTAAGTAAAAACCCTTTCCTTAGTAGAACATCATTATAAAGTAATTATTTAGGACTACGGCGGTAAATAGAAATAACAAGATTCTTCCAACAAATGTCTGCATCTGATCGGGTAAAAATGTAATTTTTTTAGATATTGCAGATTTGTACATGAATTAAGCTTGAAGGTGCCGTTCATTTCATAAATCATTAATTTTGCTAAAAAAATGCATATTCTTAATACGAGTAGTTTAGTACAAGAGTCAGATATTACATGTAATATTAACGTTTCTTGCTATTTTGTCAAATATCTATAACAGTTAGTTCTGTACTCGTTAACTACACGTTAGCTGCACAAACATCCACTTCCAGTAATTGATCGTATAACATTCTGACTCACTTTTCTTTTTAACAGAAAACTGAACTTGGTGTTGAATAATGCCGACATTTCAGCTTTGGACTATTATATCTAAAAACCTCCCCATTAGCGTTGAATTTTTCTCTATTAATTGTAGCTTAGACATCTCGTGTGAGACAGGTGACCGGAGCACTATTATTATTAAAGAATTTTAATTACAATTAGTTTTCGTATAAGGAGACAATTCCTAAACGCATTCAAATTGACCTACAACTTAATCGTTACTGGTGGTCACTGAATATAGTTATTGTAAGTCGCACTTCATATTAGGAGATCCGTGTTACTTTAAATGTTAACTGGATAAACACATTAAATAATATTTACATTTCCTGACTCTAAGCAAAGTAGTAAACTCTAATAAGGACTGAACTAAATGGTCTAATTAATTATGTTAACTATTACAGAGGTTTAGCAAATAGTTTTAGATATTTCTGGATTAAACCGTCAAAAAACGTTGATGTATCCATTTGGTTTCTTTGTTTTGGTCATTTTCATGTTTTTTTTTTCTAGATACAGAGTGACAGATTTGCGTGTGTTGTTATGTAATTGATAAAGAGTTCGGTGAGGTTTAGAAGAAATGTAGTTGATGGGTCAATGCTTTAAAATTCCAAATGAAAGAACCGCCTTCGTGTTCATGTGGATGTAAATTTTATGGCCACGGAATCGGTATCCGATTTTGTTTCATCATCATCAGTCTATAAGCGCCCATTGCTGAGTAAACGAATCTTCTCATATGAAGAAGTTTTGAGCATTAATCAACACGCTTTCTCAATGCGGATTGGCTATTTCCGGCGGAGTCGCGGAGTCCCTCGCGATGTTCACCATGTAGACGTTTTCTAGACACATGTCTAGAAAATTTTAAAGTAACTCGCACATTCATGCTTCAAAAGAGGATGGCGTAGCCTCCTTGCCACTTCAATTTTTGTTTGAATAAGTATAAGTAAAGTTTTTAAAATAGATGCATTTTAATAAAATGTTACATATTTTCTTAAGATGATGATTTTTCTTCAGTTTCCTGTTCTTCAACAATGAACTTTAATTATGGTATTGATAGATTGCTTTTGTATTGAAGTAAATAATTGGAGACTAACAATAGACCGCTTGGTTTATGAACAGTATGACAATGGACAGTTAAAGGTTGATAAATCAAATTGACGGGATTTGTAATCGGAGTCAATTAGTAAGGTGCTCTTAAACCGGCTACATTATTACAACTATTAGTTGTAATACGTATATTCATTATTCGCTAATGTTTAACCAAGAAAAGCGAGTACCGGACAATTTTTAATTACCTATGATACTTATTGTGGTGAATGAATTTACTATTTTTGTCTGTCTTATACTTATTTTCTTGTCAATTAAGAAAGAAAATGTGTGTTTTTGTAAAACTATTAGTTAGTGCCTTCTTGTTCACGCTTGTTCAAACTGGATTGACAATTTAAATCATATACTTCATATAGAAATTATAAGTCCAAGTTTCCTTGCCATATTTCCTTTCACCCACCATGTAATTTTTTTGTCACATAATAATACCACGTTTATGTCCTGTCCATATCCATCGGACAATGGAAAGCTACGACAACTTACGTATAATGTCTCAGTTCCCTAATATCTAATTTGATAATGTTATATTGTAAGTAAACTGCCAAATTATAATAAGGCCATTTAGGCAAGGTAATAGAGAGAGTAGTTTATCTGGAATTATTTTTTAAAATACTCACTAATACCTTTGTGCCCATAAAATTAGAAATGAATAAAAAGAGAGAAATTAGAATTTTCTCGAAAATTACTAATGTACACCAGAATTATTTAGTATATCTATACCCAACAAGTCGTAATCCTCTAGGGATTGGCACTCGCACTCTCATCGTGATGAGACTTTAGTGCTTATTGAACTTTTGATTGAAATTGAATTTTCATATTATAAAATAAATATATATGATATATATTTATAATTATTATGATATTATTGAGTATAGAGATATTATATTACCATTTTGGAAATATACAAATGGGAAATAATGATGTTAAGCTATAAAAAAATACGCTACGATTTGTAGGAGCCGAGCTGCAGCGAGTGGAACTGCGCGACGCGACGCAAGCTAGTTATTGTACCTATATATTTGCAAATTTCTTTATATCACTTATTTTTTACACGAATCAACAATAAACACATTGTCTTCTTTCCAGAACCTTCGAGTGACAACGATCATCGGTTCGTTCGGGACCTGTCTGGGAGCCTGGCTGAAGGTGTTCTCGGTACCTCAGGATATGTTCTGGCTGGGTTTCACCGGGCAGACTGTGGTGGCTGTATCCCAGGTGTTCATACTCAACGTGCCGCCGCGTCTGGCCGCTGTCTGGTTCGGAGCTGATCAAGTGTCGTCTGCCTGCAGTATCGGCGTGTTTGGGAACCAGGTATGTTACTCACTAATTCGCTATATAAATATGAAAATACATACATATAAACGTGCGTCATAGTAAAGTTGATCAAAGGAAAATGGACTATAGTAATGGCCCATATCCTTCGACATAAAAAAAAGGAGTTTGATAAGAGCAATCGAGTCTTTTGCACATAAGAAAATATTTTATATTCACAATAAATAAAGTCTAGGCTGGCAGACATTCGATAACAACTATGTGTAAATTCAAATGAAGTCGAAATTCTTTTCTGTGTTCTATTTAATCATATTGCATGCAAGGCTTTCAAACTGATAATTAACATTGTATTTGAAAATGTAGTTTAGAACTAATATTATTTACCACCAGTACTTCGGAAAGGCTTGTAGTAAAAGGAATAAATCGAATATAATCTGACGTAAGCGGATAGAAGCCTTATAAATACGATAGAAAGTTGCGGCATCAGGAAATAAAGAAAATTGCAAGGAATCTCAGAAATAACACGCTATTTTTATTCGTCTCGGGATTCCTAAAATAAAACGGAAGGCAAACAGAATCCCTGGCCTGGTCCTAAAACAAATAAATCAGAGTTAATATAAATGTGGTACCCCGACTCCCAGTTTCCTCTTTTATCCTTTGGGGATAAAAACCCGTTAATTAGAACTCCCGGAGTTTGCTTTTTGGTGGAAGTTTCTGCCCCTGTTTTTGGTATGGTTGTCATTTCAAGCTGTTGTGCTTAGAATTTTGGATTTAACTTCGAATAATAATAAATGTACCGTTTTTTTGTTGTACTAGCTATATCTTTCAATACTTATACCAGTTTAATAAAGTTTTGTCACGTGACACACATGGCTATTGCTTCTGTTCAATAAACTTTTTTCATAATTCTAATTCAAAAACAAAAATTAGGTACTTAATATATTCTAGCCAAGTCTTTTAAGGAGTTAATTGATCACCTCTAAAAAGTAATGACATCTGTAAACAAAGTTAAGCTTAGTCTTAGGTTCCTTACTGAGATTAATTTATGGGAAACGGATTTGTTATGGAACAATTAGTTTGCTTATTCTTTCACCTGGACAACCATCAATATTCTGCTTAGTGGTCATCAACGTTCTAATAAAACTTAAAATTCATATTAAGTTTTATGTGTCCATTAACATTTATTATAAAATAAATAACAACAACATTTCTCGGCGGATTTGAATGTATGGCCCGTGATATCCAGCCCGATGCGCGCGTCCTACCAATCCACATCCATGGAATTATTGGCCCTTGAAATATAGTATACGATGTTTGAGTATTGTTGTAGTGATAAAATATATAAAGGTATACGTAAAATGTAAGTGCAGTCAACCAAAATCCATGATGTCAATGTGTAAGTGTGGGAGAGCCATGCTTCGGCACGAATGGGTCGGCTCGACCGGAGTGATACCACGGCCTCACAGAAAACCGGCGTGAAACAACCACAGCGTTATGTTTCACCGTGTGAGTGAGATTACCGGAGGCCCAATCCTTCCCCTCCCTCAATCCCGAAATTTCCAAATCCCTAATCCCTAAATGGTCGGCAACGCACTCGTAACTCCTCTGTTGCGGGTAGCCATGGGCGGCGCTGATTGCTTACCATCAGGTAATCCGTCTGCTCGTTTGCCGACCTATTACATAAAAAAATGTCAAGGTAATAAAATACAGATTAATGCGGTACAGAGAGTACAGTACAGTACGTATAGTTTTTTTTATCTATATTTTGTCATTCAAGCCGTTTTCTGTCTTCTTACTTTTACCTGAATACTAAACTATTACTAGGTAAAAGTGATTATTGGTATGTTGTTCTTTTCCTTATACATACATCACCGTCATCAACCTAAACGCTAAAAGACAGCCACTACAATGTTCTATGTAATATGAAGATTAATTTAAAGGTTATCCTAAAAATTAATTTAATAACTATTGCATGTATAAACTATGTTTATTATTTACAGATTTTAATGAAATCTGACCTAAAAATAAATTATATCCAAAAATAACGCGTGTTGCTTTTTACTTGGCGGTTCCATTGACGTGCCCCCAGATTTACACGTGGCTATGATCAACTCTCTTGTAATTATATTATTTTAGATTACTAATGCATGCACAATGCTTTTATAGATATTTGTTGTTGTTTATCATTATATTATTATTATTTTGAGATTAACAAGCTCTTCATAAAAGTACATCTAATCATTGTCAAGTGCATTACAAGTAGGTACGTGATAACACAATGGAGGTGAAAACACAATGCATTCACAGTCACACAATGCTACTTCAAATAATAATCTTTAAATTACAAAAACTAATCTGTCTAAATCATAAAACTTTGAGCTGCAGACTGCATCAAATGAGATTAAATCTCACATTTGTTATTTCTAACATAACGTTACGACAGTAGAATCACAGTTTTGATCGAAAGAATACTGATTAATCATGTTTAATTAATATTGTTCTTCATTATAATCTCAATCAGTTTACCTGAATCCAGTGTTAATTAGCAGTTTACCCTGAAGTTCCAAGTTTATCCAATACAAAGTCTTTGGTTGCGAGTCGGTTATTAGCTAGAGTTCCTCAGTAAGTACCTACTGAACAGCCGATAATGGAATTTATAATGAGTACACTCTCGATTCTCGCATAAAAGATAAAACGGTTAGTTTAGTTTGCTTACATTTTAATTAAGGAGACGACGTGTACTGGTATTAATTTGGTGTATGAATTCATATAGGTATTCAAAATGGCTCATTTTAGCACATTTTTTTTTGTGGCCTGGGTTTTGATTCTTTTATGTAAAAAAAAACTAGACGAAGCCGGCATTTCCTATAGAGCACGCCTATCAATAAGCAACCTATTGGCTCGGGCCTTGAACATATCCAGATTTCACCATTTCTGAATCGGATGAATGAGAAAACTGGAGGAGAATGGCTTCGCCCATGGGGTTGGGATAATCCATATGGCAAGATAAATTGCATATTTAGGAAATAAAAGGCTCGGCCCCGAGACGCAGCAAGCAATAGGCAAATTTCTTGACTAGGTACTGAACTAATTATGCATTCGTATCGGGTTATTGATACTCACATCAAGAGGTAATGAACTTTTAAATACATATATGTATTGTGAAAAAGCTGAAAATAATTATGTAAATTATTATTGGTCCATAAAGGATTTATGTGTAAGTCACACACCCTTAGAAATATATGAATGAGTTAAGTTTGTAATGATTACGCGTAATCACCAAACTTATTATTTAAAAGTGACAGTATCGATGACTCACAGCCGCCGAAGAGTGGTAACCACATATATAGAAACATATTATAGTTGATTCAAAAGGTATAATGTGTTTATTGTGTTTAACAGGCCACAGTGTGAGTTCATCTTCGCCAAATCACAACGATAATGAGACAAAACCAGTTTTTATTGTTATTGTGTACCAACTGTGCCTATATAAGTAGAGTATATTTTAGTGCGTGCTTCCATATTACATGTATCTTTGTAAAAGAGTTATGTTATTTCTCTTCTCTGCTATTTTTTTTACTAGGTATACAATTTAGACCAATTTTTTGCCACAGTCAGTGTTTGCTTAACTGGCGTGTCTTCAAGACCCGGGTGAATAGGTTGTTTACGCTCCATCGTAGGCTGCATCATCGCTTACCATCAGGCGAAATATATGGTAGTTGAAAGCAAACGTTGGGACATCTAAGATAAAAAAAAACAAACGGATTTTACCGTATGTAGCTTGTACATTCGTAAAAATGTAATCCAAATAATTATGTAAGTCCTTAGATTTTTTTATTTGCAGTCTCTCTTGGTCTATTCATATCGACTACAGACAGAAAGATCAACATATAACACTGTCATTGAATCCAAAACATATCTAAAACACGATAAATGCTTTGTTACATTCTCAGTATAAACGTAGAGCCTTTAAATGTTTAACAAAGGGAAAAGTTTAAACGAAATCTTTGAATAAATTCATTATAAGTTTGAAAGATTTTTATGGGATTAGCTTGATGGCTGAGCTTATAAGGAAAATCGTAAAAGATTGGGAGGAACCTTGAGAACAAGTTTATAATGATGGGAGGATTGTTATGCCAGCGGCTTGTATTCATGACTACTGTCCGTGGGTAGGGAAACAGTGCGCTGAGAATTACAAATTACATCAGTAAGCTAATGATATTGCTAATTAACTTCATTTGCGGAGCGTAACATCGCGTCAGTATTTTCCACAAACTAACTAATGCCTAGTCAACTAGAAAACAGTATGATTAATTGTTAATTTCTTTATATTTTAATTACCTTCTTATTTTAAGTTGTACTTATAATAATTCCCTGTAGAAGTTGTCATATGCCCGGTTTCTGAAAGCCCGATCAATGTTAAAATTAACTAACTAGGTGTCAAATCTCTTGTCAAGTCATCTGATTGGTTGTTGATAATTCAGTCAACCAATCAGATGACTTGACAAGAGATTAAATTGATTTTAACATTGATCGGCCTTTCGGAAGCCGGTTGTTAGTTATTTAAATAGTGTAGCCATTTCAGCCACCCTTTTAATAACAAAGATTAGACTAGATTAGACTCGTGGTTATTCGATTTCCAAACGAATTAATATTTAAGTAATATCACGATGTAACATTTTTCCATCCTTTGACCTCGGCTCAATCTTTCAATCATACAAGACTTCCTACACACCTCCATATCTAGAACAAGGAAATAACAATAGAAATATGCAAAGTGTCACAGTATCGTCCTTAAGCCCTACTCAACGTAAAATGCCAGTCAATTATAATCTTTAAGCTTAGGTAGATAAGAGTCAGTCAGTGTCCATAATGAGAGTCTACTAAAGCTCATTCTTGCCTGCGTCGATGCTGATAAGAGAAAAATATTTCCCGCGATGAAGGGACCATACTTAAAGTTTATTGTGCTCTCTGTATAGGGCAAAGGGACGATTCGCCTAATTTATATAACGTTATAAAATGGCTGAATAACTGTGAAA